GATTTTGCAATAAAGTTAAATCTGTCGAGTAATTAATTATTATTGAATTTATACTCTTATCTCTCTCATACATACAGGCGACATAGCAAAAATTTTACGACACCTTTAATATGTAGACAATGTAGTGGCTGCGGTAGAGCATATTGGGCCCGACTCAGTATTTCGCATTATCCAAGCTTGTCTGTGACTCTGCGAATTCGAGTCTTGTGTGAGCTGTGCCGACGAGGGTTATCTCCCTGGTGAGAAGAAGACAACGAGGCCGCCGCTTAAGCGATAGGCCGACGAGGACTTATCCAGCCCAACCGACTCTCCTTTACAAGGTAAATTTAATACTTCTAATCGCTTTCAGAATTTGCGAATCAATTAAAACAAAGTGTCCGTGAAAACTTTCATCTCAAATTTCTCGGTAACCAAATAAAGATTCAGTTTTTTAATCTAAATGACTATATTGGCTTTAAGAAATTTGCAATCGACAAACAGTTTGGTTTCCATACTTATTCTCTTCCAGAGGATAAAACTCTAACAGTTACATTGAAAGGCCTTCCAAACATACCAAATTTAACCGTCTCTAATGAATTAAAGAAACTTGGTATAGAAATTAACTAGTGTGTTTTGCTTAATGACGAAAATAGCATTTACGCTACATATAAAATTACGCTACATTAATCTGAGTGCCAAATTTTCTCTCACTCAATTAAGGAAGATCCGATATTTGTTTTATTCGAGAATCTATTGGGATAAATACATTAACCGTAAAATTATATTACAATGTTACCGATGCCAAGTGTTTGACCACACGTCTGCCAATTGTTTTAAAAAACCCAGATGCGTCAAATGTGCAGAGAATCATCTCACTTCGAACTGTAAAAAAGATTTAAATTTTCCGGCAAAATGTTGTAATTGCTTGGGGGAACAACCCGCGAGTTATTCAAAGTGTCAATCTTACTTAAAATTTCTAGAAAAGCGGACGACAGCTACTCGCCCGTCTGGCATGTCTTTGCGTAAGCTAAATAAAAATTTGCATGCGAATTCTAATGAAATTCTTAACACACGGTATAAATCTTCAAATTCAAATTTTGCTGATCATGACTTTCCTTTGTCGGATAGATCGATCGCTTCAATGAACAAACATATGTTTATTATTCACCTCCAAAAACATATGCTGAGGCCTTGAAAAACTCTAACGAACAAAACGACAATATAAATGACTCTTCACACTCTGATGACATAGCTGATTTTAACAGCTTAATCTTTGAAATCAAAAAGTTGAGTCAACTCGTAAATATAAAATTAATGTTCAATATTATACGAAAGCTTAATAAAAAACTAGCTACTTGTACAGATAGACTCAGTAAACTTCAAATGTTCGTTGAGGCAGCTGATCTTATAAACTAAAAATGATTCCTCCTCCATCTCCTCTAAAAATTTGCTTGTGGAATGTCAGCATAAATAATAAAGAATAAGAATTAAATTATTTTATTTGCTCCAACAACATCGATATCGCTCTAATTACGAAAACGTGGCTGCATCCTAGTACTGAATTAAATTTTTCTGGATTTGATATTATTCGTTCGGATGCTGCTCGTGTCAAGGCAGGCGGAGTGGCAATTTTTTTTATCATTAACAAATCTTTACGCTACCATACTCTTCCTATCCCTGATGTCGATGGATGCGAAATTTTGCTGATAAAGCTGCTGTCCGGCTTGAATATAACTCTGGGGGTTGCGTATAATTCTTCTAGCGTTAAATTCGATCTCGATTTGAATAAATTTGATGTAATTTTTAAGTTATAACTTGTATGATAAAATATTAATTGGCGGTGACTTAATGCCAAGCACCGTAGTTGAAATAATTTCTATAATGATAATAGAGGTATCGAACTGCTGAACTATTCAAATAAAAATAACTTAAATATTGTACATAGCTAAACCTATTCGCATAAGGCGCCCCGTAGACACACTTCCAACATAGATTTGTTTCTAGCTAAAAATCTAAATAACGATTTTACGTGCGTAACTGCAAACGAGCTTTCTTCCAATCACCTTCCCATTCTCTTAAATCTGGAAAAATCGCAAATTAAGAGAAAAACTAATCAGTCACATAAGGTCAATTGGGAAGATTTTAAGTTTGCTACGAGTAGGTAGAGGATAGGACATAGTTTGCAAAATCAGGAAATGATTGATTCCTGTATTCACGAATTACAGCAGTTTCTCTGTGGGGCCTTAAGAAAGTCCACCGAGGTGCAAAATTATAACTTCAATCGTGTAACGTCAGATCCTGCTGTAGCTTCAGAAATTGATAAGCTTATTAAACTTCGTAATTACTATCGAAGAAAATACCAACATTCTGGCTCATCAGATAAATATAAGCTCTATCGTAATATACTCAATAATATCATTCAAAATAAATTAAATAAAGCTAAAAATAAAAAATTGTCTGAACGTTTGAAAAAAGCAAAAATTAGCGATAATAGCATCTGAGGGCTGTGGAGGTCACTGCAGAGAAACAAAACTCTTGCGCCACCATTTGATCTTGGTAATAACACTTTTGCATACAATCCAAAAGAAAAAGCTGCAGAATTATTGGCGCAAAACTTTCAAGAAATATATCAAGAAGCAGACAGTCTTATATCTCCACATGAAAATGTACACTGTTAAAAACAAAGGTCTTGTGTGTTAAAAAAAATCCTTGTTAAAATTTTTATGTAAAATAATCAACACATACGTGTGTAGATTTAACATATGCCTGCTATGTTAATTGAATTTTACAAATTCAAAATGTAAAATAATTAAAATAACTTAAAAAATATGTTAAAGTAACACAATTTGAACGTATTTATTAAATGTGTTAAAATTTACAAAAAAAAAATGTTGATTTTACTCTATAAAAGAAGTAGGAATAAAAATTTACAGAAATAGAGTGTTGATTTTATCTTACAATCTCAACTTTAACATAAAAGTTATGTTAATTGTACACATAATTAACTTCAAATTACGATCAGAATTACATTTCTTTTCTGTTGAAATATTTTAACATAATATCAGTGTTACCACTTAACACATCCATATTATGTTAAATTAACACAAAAATTTGAGTGGACCGTTTTGGACATGTGATTTATGTTATATTTAACACAAATTTTCCAACAGTGTAGTAAATGAGTACGTTGAACTCTTAGATGAAAAGACACCTCAATGTGATTTAAAATTTATTACTCCTCGCTTAATTTTCGATATCATCAAATCTTTTCCTAATAATAAAGCCCCCGGCTCTGATAAGGTCACCACTGCTGTGCTCAAAAAATCATCATATAAAATCGTAATTCAGATCTATTACATTATCTTAAACTCTTTTCGATTATATTATTTTCCTTCGTGTTGGAAGACGGCAAAAATACTCGCTTTTCCTAAGCCGGACAAGCTACAAACTTTTCCGGGCCGACTAATTATAGGCCTATAAGCTTTTTAAGCTCTCTAAGTTTATGAGAGGGTCTTACTCACGCGGATTGATGCCTTTTTATCAGAGAATAATATCATAATCAACGAACAATTTGGCTTTAAAGCACACCATTCTACCATTCAACAATTACTTAGAGTCACAGAATTTTTCGCATTGGAGATTAACAAAAAATGAAGCTCAGCTATGGTGCTACTTGATATAGAAAAAGCTTTCGATTCTGTCTGGCACAAGGCCTTGCTATATAAGTTAAATGCTCTTAACATGCCAGAGTATATAATCAAAATAATTCGCTCATATATAAAGGATCGCAAATTTATAGTAAATTTCGAGGGTGAAACATCATCTATCTGTAAGGCTATCCCTGGAGTCCCTCAGGGCTCTATCTTGGGGCCCATTCTATAATTAATATTTTTATAAATGATATTCCCAAGGACTCTAAGACTGAACTTGCAATCTACGCTGACGATACTGCCGTTTACACCTCCTACTGGAGCCCGCCTCTACTCGTCAGAAGATTGCAGAGACATGTTGATGCCCTTGTTTAATTCTTTAGAAATTGGAAGATGGCTATCAATAACGAGAAAACCGAGGCTATAATAATTACTCGCAAAAAATTTCCAAGACCTCCATCAATAAAAATGTCAAGTTTTAAAGTTTCTTGGGCCACTAAGGTAAAATATCTCGACGTTAACATCGACGCAAGCTTAAAATGGAAACCGGCAGTTAATGACAAAGTTAGTAAAGCTCAAAGAGCTCTTAGAAAATTATATCATCTTATAAATAAAACAAGTAATCTTAAGACGGAATATAAACTATTACTATACAAGACTTGCGCCAGATCAGTGTTACTTTACGCGGCTCCGGTCTGAGCAGCAGCGCACAAATCATACATTAAACGCATACAAATTATGCAAAATAAGTTTCTTCGCATCATCCTAAATCTCCCCAAAGTACGCACCACTGAATTGCACACTCAAACTCAAACTGAATATATAAATAAAGTTATTCAAGATATGATCCATAAAGCTTATAATCATGATCACGATAATCCCCTCATTAGCAACACAGGCAATTACAACACGGAGAAAATTCCTCTTGATATTAGATGTAAACTTCCTAAGCACTTCTTAGACTCGGTGTGATACACACATATTTTCTCATTTCCTTGTTCCTTTCCCTTCCCCCTCGTCCTCTCAGCTAGATTTAGACTATTATCAATGAATTTTTGCAAGTTTTTTCCCAATTCGCATACTTGGAAATCAAACGTTGCTTTCCATAAACTATTCATATGTACAATACTAATCATTTATGTTTTATGCAGGTAATAGGCTCGTCCCTGAGTACTGCAAGTAACAACAAAGGATCCTTAAAAAAAAAAAAAAAACGTTTGAAACCATAACCGTTACAAAGTTTCTACTGTAATCGTGCATTTAGTGACCGCTGCAAAAAGTACGAATTTCAAACAAAGCAAGTATATACGTCAAGCAACCAGGCAAATTTCTTAATATTCGAGGCATTCAAAAGTCAATTATTATTCAAACATGCTGAACAAGGTGTGGAGTTTCCTTTATGTTCTCAGTATTGGTGCAGTGATTAACTTATTATTACATGGGGACACATACTACAATAGTAATTACAACAATGATATCAGCGGATCAAAGTTGTCGAATTTACTGAAATTACCTATTGGAATGCAGAACTTCTTAAGGCAAAATCAACATTATTTAAACCAAGAAATGCCGGACAAGACACCGCAGTTCGGAGATACTTTTGATTTTATAATAATTGGCGCCGGTACGGCTGGAGCAACCATAGCCGCAAGACTAAGCGAAGTGCCACAAATTAAAGTACTGCTGATCGAAGCTGGTTCCAGTGAAAACCTTTTTATGGATATCCCAATAATCGCTCCCATCCTCCAGATATACAGTAAAATAAATTGGAACTATCAGACCAAATCATCCCACAAGTACTGTCGTGGCATGAAAAATAATAGTTGCCATTGGGCGAGTGGAAAAGTAGTCGGTGGCAATAGTGTGCTAAATTTTATGATAGCATCTAGAGGCAGCGCCAAAAGTTACGATCGATGGGCCGAGATGGGGAACGAAGGCTGGGCATACCAGAACGTCCTCCAGTATTTCAAAAAACTGGAAACAATGGATATTCCAGGGCTGAAATCGGATATTAACTACCACGGTACCGATGGACCAGTACATATCACATACCCGCCATTTCATACCTTGTTAGCAGAAGCCTTTCTAGAAGCTGGCAAGGAGCTGGGATATTCACTAGTGGATTACAATGGAAAGAACAAAATAGGATTCTCATATCTGCAAACCACAATCATGAATGGCACTCGCATGAGTAGCAATAGGGCATACTTGCATCCCGTGCACGGTCGCACCAATCTTCATTTGACTCGTAAAAGTACGGTGACGAAAGTGCTAATCGATCGTATTACAAATCGAGCAATCGGCGTAGAATTCGTCAAGAATAAGCAAACAATACGTGTGTTTGCGAAGAAAGAAGTAATTCTATGTGCAGGTGCCATTAGATCGTCGCAATTATTAATGCTTTCCGGCATCGGACCAGCAAAACATCTTACCGACCTAGGCATAAATGTAATTCGAGATGCGCCAGTCGGTGAAAACCTCATAGACCATATAACCTTCTTTGGATTGACATTTACAACAAACGCAGCAGTCGGTTACCAGTTATTCGATCTGATAAATCCGTTTAATTCGCATATATCAGACTTCTCAATCAATCGAATGGGATGGTTTACGATTCCGGGCGGGTGCGAGGCCCTCGGTTTCGTCAACACAAAACACATAGAAAAAAATAATAATTTACCAGTTCGTAACCCTTCAATACCAATAACCTGCAAAAAATTACATGTGAATTATCTATAAAATACATGCTGCTTATTATAATATTCTGCATGAATATTCTAATATGTTTTTACAAACAAATACCTTTAATCTGGGATCGACGACAGCAGTCGGATCTCCACTAGGTCCCATTTTACAAGTGCCGCAGTATAGTGATAAAGTGTCGTTGATAGATAATGCTATTTTTTCATAAAAGTTCATTATATAATTATGACTTTTCCAAGCAACCCCAGTCTTCTTGGATCATATCTGCCGCTTTTTCGGCGATCATATATACAGGAATGTTTAGGTGCGCCGATATAATTTCGGGCACAATGGATGCGTCTGTTACTCGTAATCCTTCAATACCAATAACCTGCAAAATATTACATATGAACTTATAAAACACATGCTGCTTATTATGATATTTTGCATGAATATTTTATTATGTTTTTACAAACAAATACCTTTAATCTGGGATCGACGACAGCAGTCGGATCTCCACTAGGTCCCATTTTACAAGTGCCGCAGTAGTGATAAAGTGTTGTTGATAGATAATGCTATTTTTTCATAAAAGTTTATTATATAATTATTATATAAGTAACCCCAATCTTCTTTGATCATATCTGCCGCTTTTTCGGCGATCATATATACAGGAATGTTTAGGTGCCCCGATATAATTTCGGGCATAATGGATGCGTCTGCTACTCGTAATCCTTCAACACCAATGACCTGCAAAATATTAGATATGAATTTATAAAACACATGCTGCTTATTATGATATTCTGCATGAATATTCTATTATGTTTTTACAAACAAATACCTTTAATCTGGGATCGACGACAGCAGTCGGATCTCCACTAGGTCCCATTTTACAAGTGCCACAGTAGTGATAAAGTGTCGTTGTTAGCATCCTTATTAGGCATTCCCAATAAGCGTCGGAGTCATATTCGTAATTGTTGCATTCCGTATAAGTAATGTTTAACAATTTAGAATCGAACGCTTGCATCGTCTTTGTCTGACCAATACTTAACGCAGTTCTAATCCCAGCAATCATTGTCCTGACGTCGTCTGGATCATCGAAATAATTTGGCACGATCTCTGGTTTAACATTAACGTCACTAGCTAACAATGTTATTCTACCGCGACTTTTAGGTTTCAGCAGTATTGGTAAAACAGTCCAGCCATTGCTGAGACTGTACTTATCCCATTCCTGAGTTATAGGATCTTTAAGTTGGAGCATCCTTTGGGGAACAAGCTCTTTCATTGCATTACCGCCAAACAATAATTCGATGTCTGGTAAATTATTATTATTTTTTGGCTGTTTTGTGTTGACGAAACCGAGGGCCTCGCACCCGCCCGGAATCGTAAACGTTCCCATTCGATTGATTAAGAAGTCCGATATATGCGAATGAAACGGATTTATCATATCGAATAACTTGAAATCTGCTGCTGCAATTGTTGTAAATGACAATCCAAAGAAGGTTGGATGGTCCATGAGGTTCTCGCCGACTGGCGCATCTCGAATTATATTTATGCCTAGGTCGGTAAGATGTTTTGCTGGTCCGATGCCGGAAAGCATTAATAATTGCGGCGATCTAATGGCACCTGCACATAGAATTACTTCTTTCTTCGCAAACACACGTATTGTTTGCTTATTCTTGATGAATTCTACGCCGATTGCTCGATTTGTAATACGATTGATTAGCACTTTCGTCACCGTACTTTCACGAGTTAAATGAAGATTGGTGCGACCATGCACGGGATGCAAGTATGCCCTATTGCTACTCATGCGAGTGCCATTTATGATTGTGGTTTGCAGATATGAGAATCCTATTTTGTTCTTTCCGTTGTAATCCACTAGTGAATATCCCAGCTCCTTGCCAGCTTTTAGAAAGGCTTCTGCTAACGGGGTATGAAATGGCGGGTATGTGATATGTACTGGTCCATCGGTACCGTGGTAGTTAATATCCGATTTCAGCTCTGGAATATCCATTGTTTCCAGTTTTTTGAAATACTGGAGGACGTTCTGGTATGCCCAGCCTTCGTTCCCCATCTCGGTCCATCGATCGTAATTTTCGGCGCTGCCTCTAGATGCTATCATAAAATTTAGCACACTATTGCCACCGACTACTTTTCCACTCGCCCAATGGCAACTATTATTTTTCATGCCACGACAGTACTTGTGGGATGATTTGGTCTGATAGTTCCAATTTATTTTACCGTATATCTGGAGGATGGGAGCGATTATTGGGATATCCATAAAAAAGTTTTCACTGGAACCAGTCGGATCTCCACTAGGTCCCATTTTACAAGTGCCACAGTAGTGATAAAGTGTCGTTGATAGCATCCTTATTGCGCATTCCCAATAAGCGTCGGAGTCATATTCGTAATTGTTGCATTCCGTATAAGTAATGTTTAACAATTTAGAATCGAACGCTTGCATCGTCTTTGTCTGACCAATACTTAACGCAGTTCTAATCCCAGCAATCATTGTCCTGACGTCGTCTGGATCATCGAAATAATTTGGCACGATCTCTGGTTTAACATTAACGTCATTAGCTAACAATGTTATTCTACCGCGACTTTTAGGTTTCAACAGTATTGGTAAAACAGTCCAGCCATTGGTGAGACTGTACTTATCCCATTCCTGAGTTATAGAATCTTTAAATTGGAACATCCTTTGGGGAACAATCTCTTTCATTGAATTGCCACCAAACAATAATTCGATGTCTGGTAAATTATTATTTTTTTCTATGTGTTTTGTGTTGACAAAACCGAGGGCCTCGCACCCGCCCGGAATCGTAAACCTTTCCCATTCGATTGATTAAGAAGTCTGATATATGCGAATTAAACGGATTTATCAGATCGAATAACTGGTAACCGACTGCTGCGTTTGTTGTAAATGTCAATCCAAAGAAGGTTATATGGTCTATGAGGTTTTCACCGACTGGCGCATCTCGAATTACATTTATGCCTAGGTCGGTAAGATGTTTTGCTGGTCCGATGCCGGAAAGCATTAATAATTGCGGCGATCTAATGGCACCTGCACATAGAATTACTTCATTCTTCGCAAACACACGTATTGTTTGCTTATTCTTGACGAATTCTACGCCGATTGCTCGATTTGTAATACGATCGATTAGCACTTTCGTCACCGTACTTTTACGAGTCAAATGAAGATTGGTGCGACCGTGCACGGGATGCAAGTATGCCCTATTGCTACTCCCCATACAGCACAAGTAGATACTGAGAATGTTCAAAGGATATCTCAGCAGTAGATTGCGTATATTCTCATAACATTCGAGATACGTACCACGATTTTCTAAGAACATACTCAGAACATTCCTATTTCCGCCTTACCTAGTTCATAGTATCTACTGAGAATATCCCGCAGTAAATACCAAGAATATCTCAGGTATCAATATAGAACCAAGGATAGAATATGCACGGTATATACTTATTACGTTCGATTAGGGTAAAATAATTGGTACTCTTTTATATTTCATAAATTTATGTTTATTTATATGTGCATTGTAAATTATTGCCAATGTGTGTACGTTACACACTACAATATTTAATATTGACAACTAATACCGCAATAACGCCGAGTTTAATGCTTATGTCACTTCGAGTGTCATACGTGATAGAGAGAATTGCTATAGAATAATAGATTACTGCCTGTTTTATGTCATATACGATTTCCTTGTAGAATATTGCAGTGTTTTCGAACTTTAAATCACATAGTGATTTGAGTACATATGAAGTACATATTTAAAACTAGCGAAAATAATCGTTTTCTTAAAAAGGATTGCACATAAGTAAACAAAAAAGAAATAGGAAAGTATGCATTTTTTACATGTGTCGTGTATCTATAAATGACGCTTATTTAGAACAAAAGGATAGGAAAATGTATTATAGTCACACGACTTGTTGGAAAGATTTAAAAATCTGAGTCCTCACACGTAAGTTATCGTTTGCACAGAAAAATGTACTTACAAATTAAGCGTGATTTAAAATTCGAGAACACTGCAATCGTTCAAATATCTCGTGAATACATTTTCAATTGAATAATACATTAAGACAAACAATTTTTACAGTGCGAACATGCAATTATCTTGTAAGTTATGTCAGACAGTAATCTCGATATTTCGAATAGAAGATAATTAAAATAAACTTTATAAATTTTGTAACATAATTGCAGCGCATTTACAGTAAGCGGCAAGTTATAATTATACGAATGATACATATATGGCAAGAGAAGGCATCATATGTTCGTGAATGTTTCAATACGTGTTGTATCATATATGTTACAAAATTATATAGTTGTCTTTCTATATAGGGACCATCCTTCAGTATACATGATGTACACACACATATATACATAAGTATATATATATATATATATACGTGTCTCTGACACGCTTGGCTCTAGAACACCGTGACCGCCGGGGCACGAAGCCCTCGGGGCACGCGCTCCGCCTAACCGAGTAAGTAAGGAAACGATGAAAGTAGTGGTATTTCACCGGCGATGTTGCCATCTCCCACTTATGCTACACCTCTCATGTCTCCTTACAGTGCCAGACTAGAGTCTAGCTCAACAGGGTCTTCTTTCCCCGCTAATTTTTCCAAGCCCGTTCCCTTGGCAGTGGTTTCGCTAGATAGTAGATAGGGACAGTGGGAATCTCGTTAATCCATTCATGCGCGTCACTAATTAGATGACGAGGCATTTGGCTATTGTTTCGTTTAAGGCAGAACGACCGCAATCATGTACAGTCATCCTGAACCTATAACGATATTGCAAGGCGATTTGCTGTCGGTGTTCGCAGCTAACACCCTGGAAGTGCTTGAAAGGAGCTGTCCAGCAGCTCT